CAAAATGAACTTTTTTGATTAATTTTTTGATTTTGTCCCGTGTCATAAAACTGTTAGCCCTCATTTTAGAATCATGTTTGCCCTTTGTGTTGAGGCTAAAATTAGCCTTGCAATTGCTGTAGTTATCGCAGCGTGTGTCTAGTCTAGTTTATTGAGCTTCTTCATCGTTCCAATTTTTTCGAGTTTTCATTTGCGATTTAAGTTTTTTCAGCATTCACAACTTGGTAAGAAAAGGAAGTGAAGATAGGAAAAGAAGTGGTAAATATTTTGTTCACCATTTCCCTTCCTTCTGTTGTAACTTGTTATTTATTTTTGCATGTTTCCTTGCTTTGTTTTCGGTCAAAGCGTGATAGTAATAATTTGGAACGTGAGGGTATATTGTTAGCAGGATGTCAATGCTAATTTCTGTATCCTCGGAGTTTTTCTTTTTATTCTTTTGCACCATACTAATATGCAACTTGTTTTGCCGTATTCTTTTTTAATGCGCAGCTTTTTTTTTTTCATGTTACTGATGTAAAAACAAGTTCGATATAACAAGAAGTCGATATAACAAACGTTAGGCCAAAATTTCACTATACCTTATGTTGATCAAAAATGGAAAAAGTAGTCATAAGAATTTTTACACAAACTCTCGGTTTTTTTTGTTTCATTTTCGGTCAATTGCTACATTTTCTGTCTTATGACTGCCAACTTTGACCATTTTAACGTCTCATTTTGGAAAAGTCGTAAAATACATTTTCTTCTTATTCTGCTGCTGTTACCTCTGCTGCCAGTTTACCTTTTCGCAGTCAATTAGCTTGATTGCTTTCTCTACTCTCTTTTCTTTTCCCTAATTTCATGCTTGTTTTTTTCCTCCTTAGCCCAAAAGGAATCCCCCTGTAATCAGCACAACCCCCGCTTACTACAGACTTTTAAATGGCCCCCACTTTGTATCAGTGACGGTATCAGATATTAGTAAGAACTTGTGTTATTTTGTAATGCTAATGAACGAAGTGATTTTTAAAAACTTATTTAGGATCATTTTTTACAGATCATCCGCTAATGAAAGGCTTATTTGGCTGCCCAGAAATGCCAATTTTGGTACTGTTTTTTTTTTCAGAAAAAGGAAATAGCGTTTTTTTTCGGGACAAATTCTACTCTTTAGCTTAAAAGTCGTTAAGTTTAAAAGGTTGAGTTTTAATTCCTAGTAGAGAGGAGAACTAGCTTTGCTCTCAAATTTTTTTAGTCCAACTTAGCAATTTTAAATAGACTTCTATCTCACATATGCGAAAGAATTGTTTTTCATTACTTACGCTTTCGTGTTAATTTTTCAGTTTCTAACTCTCCGCAGTTTATAGATTATGCAAACTAAAAGTTGAACTTAAATTTTAGTTAGTATCTTGCAGTTCCAATATTGGGTAAACCCAATTCTCTAAGCTATTTATCATTGTAGCCCCCACTCTAGTAGACTAGTAACTGAACAATTACTGTCCCCACTCTTTGATTTTACAATTATTTTTTGGCAACTTATGGAGGCCAAATGCAGCTGAGTCGGGTCTATGCTAGGAAATAGTCTCTCTATTCCTCTCAATTTTCATTTTTTTTTCCAGAAAACTCGTTCATTCATGCTTGATCAAATCATGCGTCATACCTTTTTATTGTATTCCATTTGATAGCTTGATAGGTTCATTGTATCAGAAAAATGTAATAACTTTGATTGTCGTTGGGCCGTATTTGATAGTCAAAATAATTGAAATCAGGGAAAAAAGATGTACGTGTTTAATTTTAATCATCTAATGGAAATTAAAAATATCAAAGAAATCAGTGGCTTCCATTTTTTCGATTTTTTTGCGCTGACAACAAAGCTGCTGGATGGTATAAAAATCTGTCAAAAATTTCTAGTTAAAAACCGAAATTTGTCTGAAGAAAAAACCACCCCGAACACACAAATATTCTGCGAAAGTCGGACAAAAAATTATTTGGTTCACCCAATTAGGAGGAGTATAATAATAAGTTATTCCACTCTTACTCGAGAGCTTCATAATAGTATTGATTATAGAGCGAGCCAAACTTTTTTGTAGTCCAGATTTTAAGATGAATATCAATACGCATAAATTGAGAGCTATTTCCAAAAAATATAGTCTTTGCTAATTACCTGAAATCGTTTTCGCTGTGGCATTTATGAAAATTCTAATTGTCAGCTAATTTAAATTCCAATTTTCCAACGTTGCTATCTCCTCGTGTCAAGACTTCTTGAATGTCATTAAATTTGTGGCATGGAATCTGGTTGTGGCATGAATACCAAAACCGCTAATTAAATTAGGAGCATTATGTACTTGGTGGGCTCAGCAGACAAAGTGTGAATAATCGAATTAGAGTTATTTCCTTCGTTCCCCTGTTAATCATTGGACACTGTCATGGCTTTGCCATATTCATGTGGCCAGTCTCTATAACTTTTCTTTCAAACCTGAACTAAATCGGTGTTTTGCTCCATGTCTGACAAGGAGAGGAGCAGGAACTGAAATTTTGAAACGTTATTTCTTTTGGGCGCGGGAGGGGTGGGAAAGGTCTGCAAAAACCAAGCAAGACTGCTCGTATCAAGGCAAAGCTCTGAATGTTCTGACTGCATCTTAATTTCTATAGAGTAGTTTGAATTAAAATAATTGAATAAATTTTCAAAAAAATGAAGAAAAAAAATTGTAAATGTTTTTCGAGTTTTTTTGGAAACCCTCCTCACACATTTTAATGTACAAAGTGATATATTATGTATACAGCAAAGTATTGAATAAATCAGTTAGCATGCCTTAATCTAATTAGGAACGGTTTCTAAGACGGATTAAATCTCCACATAGTCGCGTTAATATCGCTCGTTAATTGTCCCAAATTGGCAATCTTCAAGCCCTCTTAACTTTACGAAAATGATCGCAGGTGAAATATCGGTTTCAATTTGAGCTCAGAATAACAATACTTTTCGAATTATATTTTAAAAATCTGTCAATAAATGATAGTTAAAAAGTCGAAATTCGTCTGGAGAAAAATCACCTCGAGCACAAATAGTCTGTCATTTTCTTCCGAAATAGTCGGAACAATACATTTTTTGTTTCGATGTTCATATTTCCTCGAAGGCATTCAAGCATTGTATCGTTCAAGCTGTGACTCAAGCTTCCAAGATATTTAATTAGGTCGTGTTTGTTTGTTTCGAAGTCAGAGGTTGTATTAACAGAATACATATACAAGCCAGTGTTGTTCTTAGACAATTTTAATGGCTAAAATAATTTTAGCGATTTATTATTCATAACTAAAGATGTGAGATTCAGGGTATTCAAATTTTAACTCGCTTCCATTTCAATGCTTGATTTAACCAATTGAATCCTTTTTGTTCCTACTTTCGATACGAAAGTAACGGAATATTTGTGCTCGGGGTGGGTTTTTTTTTTCTTCAGACAAATTTCGACTTTTTAACTAGCCATTTTTGACGGAATTTTTTAATATCATTCGAAAGCCATTGTTGTCCTGAGCTTAAATTTGAAAAGATATTTCACCTGTGATCATTTTGCGTAAAGTTATGAGGGTTTAAAGATTGCCATTTTGACCAATTTGGGACAATTAACGCGCGATATATTTCGCGCTATTAACGCGTAAGCGGAGATTTAATCCGTCTTATAAATCGTTCCAAATTGGTTGAACGAAGCTTATTTGCCATAATTGATTTGTTACAAGGAACAAAATCTATCTTTTTTTACTTCATATGGCGTGTGGGGGGATGATTTTTATAAAAAAAATTTCAAATTTAAAAAAAAAAATTTAATTTTATTTTATTTCATTTAATTTTTTATGTTATTACTGCTGCTCCATAAACCTTAAAAAGCAGTCGGAACATTCAGGGCTTCGCCCTGATACGAGCAGTCTTGTTTTGTTTTACAAATCTATTCACGTCAATTCTAGAATTTAGCGGGAAAAAATTAAGTTGAAAATGTTTGCCCCTAAAGCTAAAATCACAAGCGTGCTGGCGTTCATGAGGATTGACTTTTGACGGTGTTCGAAAATTTGTACGACAAAACGGTGTTCTACAATTTAATGACAACAAATTTAACAACGCAAGTTTTTTACCTAGTCATTTTAGTACTAAATATTTTGAATAATCAACAATTTTAATCAACAAATTTATCAACGATTTTTTAACTTAACCCCAAGATTAATGCTGTATGAACTGCTGGTTGTAACTTCTATCACACCAGAATTAATCCTGCAATTAACGCACGCATCATATTGAAAAGCTTGGTTTATCCGAGTTATAAATTAGGTTGAAATGAGGCTTCCTGAATTACTAAAGAGTTTCATCGACAAGTTTGTAATTCACTTTCAATTAGATGAGAGCATAATCATGACATTTCAGCGGGAAAATCAGATGCTCAATCAGGTGAAACTGTATGGTGTTAAGTTTTTTAGAGTTAAAATGGTAGAAAACGAAAAAACTCGGCACAATTTTTGCCTCATTATAGGTTTTAAAGCGTCTCTCTCGAAATCTGAAAAAATGTAATCCGAGCGGCTGAAAAAATTTAATCCGAGAGGCAGATGAAAAAATGTAATCCGAGTGACAGAAAAAGTGTAATTTGAGTGACAGAAAAAGTGTAATCCGAGAAACAGTATTTTCAATGCACCGGACATCCCTATTTTATAACTTACCAAAGAAGGTGCCCTAATTCTGACACAATTTTGACCTAGTTTTAAGTTTAGTATTTATCCATGTCCAGGTTTGCAATAGCCAGATTTGACTAAACAATGCGCGCCTTATATTCCCAGTTTTCGCAAGCTGCGAAAACATTGAGCCCACTAACCGCGTTGAGAAAGTGGACGAGAAAAGGAGTGTATCAATATTTTAGCTGTTTTGAATTAATTTTTGAAACTTAAATTTTATCCCGTACCTTACAGAGCAACAAAGAAATTTTCCAATTTCTTTTCAACGAATTTTTTGTGCTTCTTGCAAAGCATCTGGGACTATCCTTGTGTTTGTGTTTTAGAAGGCGCGCATGGCGAGAATACGACTGGCCAAGAATGCGAGCGGGACTGCATTTGTGGCCAAGAAGAAAGCACTCGAGATGCAGGTTAGTTCTTATTCAAAGCATTTCACCACCTACTCTTGATTTCTTTCTATTTAACACCATTTATTCACCGGGTAATTGGCCCTTATACGCACTCTTCAGTGAGAACTGCTAATTTGGTAAACATTATTTTGCCCATTTTCCTGTTTACAAATTATGTATATGTTTTTGGTTGTTTTTCCGGGCCCCATTCCGATGAAACGAGCACGGATCATGGATGTACAATCTTTTATTCTACTTTCTATGATATAACGAAGCTATGAAATGAGGACAATAAAAAAGACAATACTTGTTAATTTCAACAACTTAATGGTAATAAGCATCAAAGAACTTCGTGAGTTTTCACTTATCTAGGTTGTGTAGTTTTTTTGCTGTGCTTAGTAAAATAAATTTAAAGGCAAGAGTAAATAGTTTGTGGGTTTGACTTCGACCTATTTCTAGTTTAAATTCATTTGTTACATGGAAATCAGCTCCTGCTCTATAATAGCAAACGTTCAATTACATTGCAAAGAAGCCGAGTGAGCCAGATGCGCGGTCTTTTACATGAAGTTTGGGGGTTCGAATTCCCCTTCGGTCACAGTTGGAGGGGTTCAAATTTCATCTGCCTCCTCAAGGTGAAACGGAGTACGGCAGTATATAATATATCTCCCCACGCAAGCATGGCCCAAAGTTGTAAGGAGAAATATAGGGCCGGGAAAAACATAAATAAACATTTTCGTCAATATAAGTTAATTTTATCTAAAAAACTGAGCCGTAAAATATTCTTGAATTTTTGTTTTCAATAAAACTGAAAAATACATCTTCTTAAAAGCGAATGAACGTAGATCAGCAGACTCTTATATAGGTCGTGATGAGTTTGAATGTTTTTTTTTTCAGGAAAAATCTTAAAATTTGTTCATGTTCAAATTTACTTTTCCGCGGTTTGACTTCTGGTTTCTTCTTAAGTTTAGTTCAATTCCTTTGTTAAAAGGAAGGCAAACTCCAATATTCCAATAACGAACAGAAAAAAATGTAAAAGTCACGAAAAACGTGATCGACTTCTAGTTTCGACAGTGGAATTTTATTTTCAGATTTCCCAGCGAAATAAAAATTTGCTTTAATGATCTAGTGTTCTCAAGTTGGGTTGGTTTCATCAAAAATGGTCAATCATAAATTGTGTCAGAACATCAAAGAGCTCTAAGTGCATCTTTTTTTCTTCGAAGTTTGAAAGTTGAGATTTTTTCCACAAAGCGTTTTTTAAGATTCATTTGCGTTCCTTACTCTTTTCCAATCTTTGATTGGCTATGTTTCTCTATATGTTGTTTGAAAAACATAAGTCAAACTTTTGGAAAAAAATTGAAGATAACAATATTTTTTGTCATTTTTCTCGCTTTTGGCTCTCAAAAAAAAATCGAAAAAGTGAGTCAGTATTTTTTTCTCATTTTTTTTGCGTTCATTGAGTCTTTTCCAACTGTCTCCTAGCTATGTTTATGAAATTGTCAATCAAAAAACTGTTTTCGAAATTTAAAAAAATAATAATAATTTTCAGATGTTCGAGGAAAATATTCGAAATTAACTCGTTCATATTACAGTTTTCTTGAGTTAATTGACACTTTTCGAACGGTCTGTAGATTTAAGTTTTTAGATTTCTCAGCGGAATAAAAAAGTTGCCTAATGATCCAGTGTGCTCAAATTGAGTGAAATTTATCAATTTTAAATTGTACTCAAGCATGAGTTGTAAGGGCATATATATGTTTGTCAAGTTCGAAAGTTAGATATTTCAAAAAACAAGTCCGTATTTCAGAAATGGGGAAAAACTATGGTCTAGGGTGGGTTTTCCATACAAAATCAGGTAGCTTAAAGAAGCATTTTTGGCCATCTAGTGTGGTATCAAGTTTAACCCTCATAAAACTGGATAGTAATTCCAAAAAGATAATCAGAACAATTGTCTCAATTTTCAAAAATGGTCCAAAAAGAGAAATTTTTGCTATTCAGGCACAAATTTAGCTAAAAGTGGATTAAATACTTTCGTCATTTGAACTAAAAACATTTAAATTTGACACAAAAAAAAGTCTGGGTGTTTTATTGGTCGAAGAAGCTCTTCTATGACCAATGAAAGGCTGTCTCTCATGTAAAACTAGTATTGAACAGAAAAATGAGCGATTTCCTGGTTTTAGTTTTGTCAGTGTCCAAATATCTAAAGCGAAGAAAAGTATGCTACTGAAAACCTGGAAAATTAATCCTAGGCGCATTAAACCATGACATTGTCACTTTAATAGGTTGAATTGAAAATAGTGTCTGAAACACATACAAAATTTAGCTAGATACCAAGCGACAGTACCTCAGCCAGTCCCACCAACGAAGTATACTCCCCTTGCAGGGCGAAGGACTTTGTTTGGATTGCTTATCAGCTGAGTAATGTACGTCACAAAAACCGAGCTAAAAGTTTGGACTTGATATGCGCTGTAATTCATTCCTGAAATGAAACCATCTTAGAGTTTGAGCAAAGTACGACTTCTTTGCGCCTTCCGAGTAGCACATTCTACTTCTTAAGCGAGATTTATTTTTTAAATGCTTAGCGAGTCTAATTGAAAATGCATCCGATGCTTAGTTATTAGTTATATTTATTTTTGGCATTTGTTGGTTTTATTTTTTTTCTATTTTCAAAATTTTTTTAGCATTATTTTATCTGTTGTTTTGTTCTCGTTATATCGTCATTGATGCGAAACTTCTTTTGTTTCTTTTAGTTTCAACGTGTGCATGCCGCTTCGTTTCAATGCCTATTGTCAAAGCCCGTTTTTCTATTTTTGATATACTATTGTTATGTATAATGTCAGCTGTTTGACGAACAAAAAATGCTCGGATATGCTTGAAAAATTGCAGCGTACAAAAATAGAATTTTTCAAAATTAGAAGATAAAATTATAGGGTGCTAAACTAATGTTTCATTTTACAAAAATTAGAAATTGTCAATATTGGTTTTAGTCGGTTGTTCTACGTCGCTTTTCTTCGATTCTTATTGAGAAAACAAAGTCTATTGTAATTCTTTTTCATAGAAGTGAAACTTGAACTTAAATGTAAAACATTTTTTGATCACATACGTTTTTTAATTTTTTTTTTCGAAATTTAGATCTTGATGCAGAATCATAACATAACGGAAGCCTGACCAAAGGTTTCATTTAGCAACAACTAATCTCGACTTCTGAAAAAACACAAATTAAGCATACTAAAAACGTTTAATCAATTTGATACATTTAATTTCCATTATTTTTTTGCTAAATTTTTCCTGTGAAATTCTATTTGTACCATAAAAATAGGAGTAGGATCAATGATACCTCATCAGTTGAGTTTTTACATTTTCCCTAAAAATGGAAGTTGTTATTTTTTGTTACTGCTTTGACCGCTTTTTTTGCGAAGGAGAAACCAGATTCGTATACACGCATCGCATGTTTGCCATAGATCTAAACAAAGATGCGCATGTGCGGTATTGTAAATTAGTAAAAAGAAGGTGATAAATTAATAATGTATTGTACACCGGCTAATCAAGTGTACGGTGCTAGGTAAATTGGACGACAGGACATTTAGACCACAATATCTATAGAAGACTGAAAAAATTTGCAGTCTTTTGATTGACTACATGTGGTGTCTCAAAAACTAAGCATGTCGATATTGAAACTGCATAGGCGAAAGAAGTTCCTACTTTTTCCGTGGAAATGATTGTCGTCATAACAGTTGTCGACTTATTTGTCACACGCCCAAGTGTTTGGGTTGGAATACTGAAAACGGGAATACCTCGCTCATGCCCAAACAAATTACCCGAAATTATGTTTCTTAATAAAAATTTAAAATTTTGAAAGGAAAAGCGTGAAAATCAGTCAGCTTTGCAGTGTTTAGAAGACATGGATGTTTGAAATTTTTCGGGTGATTGATCCTTCGACCATGTCAATGCACCCTGAAAATTGTGGCAGCGCTTCCAACTTAGAACAAAGTTCTTTTCGAATGCTTTGAACTTGCAGTGCACTTCCTACTACGCCACTGGTGCCTACTCGCTCCTTCGTTTGCTGACGTCACAAAAGAACCACTAAAAGATCTGTTTGTCCTCTAAAGGAAATTAGCTCATTAATTATTAAGACTCAAATTACTGCAAACCATGCCAAAGTAAACTTGTTTACCGGTAAAGTAAACTAATGTTGCAAAATGTTTGAATGGTACAAACTCGATTTTTTATTTTTCGATTCTAATATAGTTCTGTCTTATTCTAATAATCTCAATATTTCACCTTCACATGATTAATTATTATGTTTTTGCTTATAGCTAATATCGATTCCCTTTTAAATAAGAATGTTTTATATTTTCTGATCTTAGAATTAGCAAAATTTTGTTTCAAATATGAAGGCATAACGTTTTCAACTATGAAGTGTTCAAAATCGACAGGATTTAAGCGCCTTAACGCTGATTTTTTTGCTTATGAAGTGTAATTTATCTAAAGAACTTCAAAAGATCTAAGGGCTCTTTTGAACTTACGGGAGTTTTTGTCATACCTTCCAAGGTCATTGTACTTGCGATTAGATAATTCATTTCCTTATATTAAAGAACAATAATTATTGTCTCGGAATATAGATATAGATGACAAAAATTTGTTTTAGTTCAGACAAATTTCGGTGATCGAATTTATTGTTTTTGACGGAATTTTTTTCATGTTCCAAAAATCTGTTTCATGCTCGGAGCTCAAATTTGAAAAAAGGCCAATTCGAGTAACGGAGTTTCACATGCATTATGAAGTTGTCAAAAACAAACTTCTCGCCCCCAAAACGTTTTCTCCACAGAAAATTGCCAAGATGAGCATATAACCAGAGATCAATAACACCGTTCATAGCTTTCGATTTTTTCTAGGCTTGCCCCCACATTGCTTCGATTTTATTTATATGAACGCCGCTGGTCGGATCCTTAGAATTTTTGCTGTGATCTACTGACTCATAAAGAAAACTAAGTGTCTCGGTCTACATAAGGGATTATTAGCGTGCC